TGTATTCTTTTTCTTTCTCAGTCTCTTCCTATACCTTTTTAACGTTGGCTTGTTCCACAGCGCTAGTCGCCTTGCGCCGCCCGCCAAAGACGTAAAACAACAGGGCGTTGATCGATTCGATATACATCAAGGCGGCGCGGGCGTCAAGGGAAGCCACTATTACGACGTTAAGGTAAGGCGCTATATTTTTTTCCTTGTTTGAGTTTTAGAAATTCATAATGTTACTTGTTTCATTGATTTCGTTAACATTCGCCTTTCCGCTTTGGCAGATTGTAAAACGCCCACCGCCTAACGGCCGTACGTCGCATGGGCGGCGATTTCTGCAATAAGGAATATTTTCGGTGTGCGGAATCGGATGAATATTTACGGAATCATTTCAGAGGAGCGGATAGGAAATTTTCCGGAATATGAGGCGTCGGTAGTCCAGTGACCGTTATCGCTTCTCGGCCTTTTGGCTAAGATCAAAGTGTAGTATCTGTTCTTATCAGCTTAATATCTGATACGTGGCTCATTGAGTCACTACGATATTAAACTGATTTTTGGTACTCGGCGGGATGCCCGGGGCTTGCTCCGCTCTCGCCACGGGTCGGCCCGGTATTGCAGTTCTTCCGGGAATGGCCCATTCAATTTCAATAATGTACGATTGGTCTCTCTCTCTCAATAAAAACAGCTCACTGCTGGTCAGTCAGAGTGATATGGTATTTATTCTATACCAGTCACTGTTTGCTTAAAATGTTAATCGTTTGAGCTGACCAGCACATTTTTTCTTTATTTGACGGTTCTCAAACGAACGGCAGCCGGTATAAAAACAGATATTTTTTTTTATATTTAAAATTTCTCTCCGCTCCTCTCCTTCGTTGTTTACTAATCTAAATTATGTTTTAAAAATCATTTGTCATGGCCAGTATGTGTCAAAATATCACACTTCTGTCCACACAGGACCAGTATTAATTTCACTTTAATATAAAGAAAATAGAAATTTAAATGTAAATTTTTAAAAGTTATTTCAATTTAAAAAAACAAAAATTCATTTTTATTTTTAAACTGACGTACATTGTTACGTACATTGTTTAATGTATTCTTTCCTTCAACGATTTGCATATATCTTGATCCTAATTGATTTCAAAATGTTAAATGAAACATTACAATCAGCAGAATATTAATAACAATGATCCGTTTAAGAAAAAAAAATATAAATAAAAAAAAAAAAAAAAAAAAATCTAAATTTACAAATTTAAATTTTGTGGTTTTGTTCCGCATCTTTTCTCCTGCCGACCTCACGTCACCTTTTTGTATTCTTTTTCTTTCTCAGTCTCTTCCTATACCTTTTTAACGTTGGCTTGTTCCACAGCGCTAGTCGCCTTGCGCCGCCCGCCAAAGACGTAAAACAACAGGGCGTTGATCGATTCGATATACATCAAGGCGGCGCGGGCGTCAAGGGAAGCCACTATTACGACGTTAAGGTAAGGCGCTATATTTTTTTCCTTGTTTGAGTTTTAGAAATTCATAATGTTACTTGTTTCATTGATTTCGTTAACATTCGCCTTTCCGCTTTGGCAGATTGTAAAACGCCCACCGCCTAACGGCCGTACGTCGCATGGGCGGCGATTTCTGCAATAAGGAATATTTTCGGTGTGCGGAATCGGATGAATATTTACGGAATCATTTCAGAGGAGCGGATAGGAAATTTTCCGGAATATGAGGCGTCGGTAGTCCAGTGACCGTTATCGCTTCTCGGCCTTTTGGCTAAGATCAAAGTGTAGTATCTGTTCTTATCAGCTTAATATCTGATACGTGGCTCATTGAGTCACTACGATATTAAACTGATTTTTGGTACTCGGCGGGATGCCCGGGGCTTGCTCCGCTCTCGCCACGGGTCGGCCCGGTATTGCAGTTCTTCCGGGAATGGCCCATTCAATTTCAATAATGTACGATTGGTCTCTCTCTCTCAATAAAAACAGCTCACTGCTGGTCAGTCAGAGTGATATGGTATTTATTCTATACCAGTCACTGTTTGCTTAAAATGTTAATCGTTTGAGCTGACCAGCACATTTTTTCTTTATTTGACGGTTCTCAAACGAACGGCAGCCGGTATAAAAACAGATATTTTTTTTTATATTTAAAATTTCTCTCCGCTCCTCTCCTTCGTTGTTTACTAATCTAAATTATGTTTTAAAAATCATTTGTCATGGCCAGTATGTGTCAAAATATCACACTTCTGTCCACACAGGACCAGTATTAATTTCACTTTAATATAAAGAAAATAGAAATTTAAATGTAAATTTTTAAAAGTTATTTCAATTTAAAAAAACAAAAATTCATTTTTATTTTTAAACTGACGTACATTGTTACGTACATTGTTTAATGTATTCTTTCCTTCAACGATTTGCATATATCTTGATCCTAATTGATTTCAAAATGTTAAATGAAACATTACAATCAGCAGAATATTAATAACAATGATCCGTTTAAGAAAAAAAAATATAAATAAAAAAAAAAAAAAAAAAAAATCTAAATTTACAAATTTAAATTTTGTGGTTTTGTTCCGCATCTTTTCTCCTGCCGACCTCACGTCACCTTTTTGTATTCTTTTTCTTTCTCAGTCTCTTCCTATACCTTTTTAACGTTGGCTTGTTCCACAGCGCTAGTCGCCTTGCGCCGCCCGCCAAAGACGTAAAACAACAGGGCGTTGATCGATTCGATATACATCAAGGCGGCGCGGGCGTCAAGGGAAGCCACTATTACGACGTTAAGGTAAGGCGCTATATTTTTTTCCTTGTTTGAGTTTTAGAAATTCATAATGTTACTTGTTTCATTGATTTCGTTAACATTCGCCTTTCCGCTTTGGCAGATTGTAAAACGCCCACCGCCTAACGGCCGTACGTCGCATGGGCGGCGATTTCTGCAATAAGGAATATTTTCGGTGTGCGGAATCGGATGAATATTTACGGAATCATTTCAGAGGAGCGGATAGGAAATTTTCCGGAATATGAGGCGTCGGTAGTCCAGTGACCGTTATCGCTTCTCGGCCTTTTGGCTAAGATCAAAGTGTAGTATCTGTTCTTATCAGCTTAATATCTGATACGTGGCTCATTGAGTCACTACGATATTAAACTGATTTTTGGTACTCGGCGGGATGCCCGGGGCTTGCTCCGCTCTCGCCACGGGTCGGCCCGGTATTGCAGTTCTTCCGGGAATGGCCCATTCAATTTCAATAATGTACGATTGGTCTCTCTCTCTCAATAAAAACAGCTCACTGCTGGTCAGTCAGAGTGATATGGTATTTATTCTATACCAGTCACTGTTTGCTTAAAATGTTAATCGTTTGAGCTGACCAGCACATTTTTTCTTTATTTGACGGTTCTCAAACGAACGGCAGCCGGTATAAAAACAGATATTTTTTTTTATATTTAAAATTTCTCTCCGCTCCTCTCCTTCGTTGTTTACTAATCTAAATTATGTTTTAAAAATCATTTGTCATGGCCAGTATGTGTCAAAATATCACACTTCTGTCCACACAGGACCAGTATTAATTTCACTTTAATATAAAGAAAATAGAAATTTAAATGTAAATTTTTAAAAGTTATTTCAATTTAAAAAAACAAAAATTCATTTTTATTTTTAAACTGACGTACATTGTTACGTACATTGTTTAATGTATTCTTTCCTTCAACGATTTGCATATATCTTGATCCTAATTGATTTCAAAATGTTAAATGAAACATTACAATCAGCAGAATATTAATAACAATGATCCGTTTAAGAAAAAAAAATATAAATAAAAAAAAAAAAAAAAAAAAATCTAAATTTACAAATTTAAATTTTGTGGTTTTGTTCCGCATCTTTTCTCCTGCCGACCTCACGTCACCTTTTTGTATTCTTTTTCTTTCTCAGTCTCTTCCTATACCTTTTTAACGTTGGCTTGTTCCACAGCGCTAGTCGCCTTGCGCCGCCCGCCAAAGACGTAAAACAACAGGGCGTTGATCGATTCGATATACATCAAGGCGGCGCGGGCGTCAAGGGAAGCCACTATTACGACGTTAAGGTAAGGCGCTATATTTTTTTCCTTGTTTGAGTTTTAGAAATTCATAATGTTACTTGTTTCATTGATTTCGTTAACATTCGCCTTTCCGCTTTGGCAGATTGTAAAACGCCCACCGCCTAACGGCCGTACGTCGCATGGGCGGCGATTTCTGCAATAAGGAATATTTTCGGTGTGCGGAATCGGATGAATATTTACGGAATCATTTCAGAGGAGCGGATAGGAAATTTTCCGGAATATGAGGCGTCGGTAGTCCAGTGACCGTTATCGCTTCTCGGCCTTTTGTCCAAGATCAAGCGATAACCTATACCAACATCCTATAATGTCATACTCAAGTTCTATGACTTATGCAAATATAGTCAACGCCAGCAAAGGGGTTGCGCCCTTGGATGTTCCCCCTGGGTCGAGAGATTTGGGGAGGAGCCACCCGGACTACGGTTCGGGTGGTTTAATGAAATCCAGGGCCCAACCCTTTTCAGCTACTACCGCCATCCTGAACCTGCCGAACGAAGATTGCCCGGAACTCTTTCCTGCTGAGTCACCTACTATACAAGTCACCATAAGCTCAAAAGGTCATCCCAACTTAAGAGGACACATCTTACGCCAGCTCATAAGTGATCACCAGATCCTACTCCTCAACTACGGACGCACTGACACCTGGTACTTCTCCTCATCAGAATTCGACGTCACCACCTTACATAACACACACAAAATACATGGCCCCTACACACTCTACTACACCTTACACGAAAAGAACAGAATAAACGGAACCCTTAGATGGGTCCCACCCACACTAAGCGATCGCACACTCATACAAGCACTACAACCCTACAGCACTAAGGAACCTTCTATACACACAATCCCCCTCACTACCAACCGCAACTTCTCAATATACACAGACAACCCAACAAACATCCCTCACTACATCCAAATAAATTACAAAAACAAAACACTTAACATGCTAATAGCCATCAAAGACAGAAAACAAGCCTGCCAACACTGCTCATCAACAGCACACTGGACCAACCAATGCCATATCCTCAACCCAGAAGCAACACCCAAGAATCAACCTTCATCACAACCGGAAGCACCACCTACTCCACAATCCTCTAAGCCCAGCAGTCTTCAGAACTCCCCAATCAAGGACGCACAAGCAAGCCCCAAAACGTCGCCCAAAAAACAGCCCCCAGTTCAAAATCTAGCGCCACCCATCCAGCCAGCACCCACATCGACCAGCGAGCAAGCAATGCCACCCTCCCAACCATCACCTACATCATGCAGTAAGCAAGCAGCAACACTCGCCCAGCCAATAACATCTCCAAGTAGCCAACAAACAGAATTCAAGAAACCAACTAACCCACCCAAACCGCCAAGCTTATCAACAACCCCAAGCAAACAGGGAAAAACAGTAAACACGGAATCAGAGATGTACACCGAAACAGATTTAAAACGGAAAAAGGATAGCCCCACAGAGGCAAAAAGTACAAAGAGTATAAAAACGGAAAAACAACTTCACGGAAAAACACACTGCAGGTTTTGTACCTTACGCTACAAAACAATTTTAGAGTTGGAAAAGCATGAAAAAGAAATGCACGAAAAAACCTTACAGTGTAAGATATGCTCAGGGGAGGCCCCCTCAGGTAGAAGGTCCTTCCATGACGTATCCAAGCACTATAGGGAAAACCACCCTAACGAAACATTGTACACATGCAGCATTTGCACCGTGTGCCTCCCACTGCACGCCATACAGGTACACACAGAAATTCTTCATTAGTGATAGACGTTTTGTATTAGGTTGTAACTGTACTGATATTTTATGCTTTATTGTCATACTATGTATCACATGATGTTTTAAAACTTGCAACCTATCCATATAATGGAAGGAATTATATTAAACGCAAAAAAAAAAAAAAAAAGTATCTGTTCTTATCAGCTTAATATCTGATACGTGGCTCATTGAGTCACTACGATATTAAACTGATTTTTGGTACTCGGCGGGATGCCCGGGGCTTGCTCCGCTCTCGCCACGGGTCGGCCCGGTATTGCAGTTCTTCCGGGAATGGCCCATTCAATTTCAATAATGTACGATTGGTCTCTCTCTCTCAATAAAAACAGCTCACTGCTGGTCAGTCAGAGTGATATGGTATTTATTCTATACCAGTCACTGTTTGCTTAAAATGTTAATCGTTTGAGCTGACCAGCACATTTTTTCTTTATTTGACGGTTCTCAAACGAACGGCAGCCGGTATAAAAACAGATATTTTTTTTTATATTTAAAATTTCTCTCCGCTCCTCTCCTTCGTTGTTTACTAATCTAAATTATGTTTTAAAAATCATTTGTCATGGCCAGTATGTGTCAAAATATCACACTTCTGTCCACACAGGACCAGTATTAATTTCACTTTAATATAAAGAAAATAGAAATTTAAATGTAAATTTTTAAAAGTTATTTCAATTTAAAAAAACAAAAATTCATTTTTATTTTTAAACTGACGTACATTGTTACGTACATTGTTTAATGTATTCTTTCCTTCAACGATTTGCATATATCTTGATCCTAATTGATTTCAAAATGTTAAATGAAACATTACAATCAGCAGAATATTAATAACAATGATCCGTTTAAGAAAAAAAAATATAAATAAAAAAAAAAAAAAAAAAAAATCTAAATTTACAAATTTAAATTTTGTGGTTTTGTTCCGCATCTTTTCTCCTGCCGACCTCACGTCACCTTTTTGTATTCTTTTTCTTTCTCAGTCTCTTCCTATACCTTTTTAACGTTGGCTTGTTCCACAGCGCTAGTCGCCTTGCGCCGCCCGCCAAAGACGTAAAACAACAGGGCGTTGATCGATTCGATATACATCAAGGCGGCGCGGGCGTCAAGGGAAGCCACTATTACGACGTTAAGGTAAGGCGCTATATTTTTTTCCTTGTTTGAGTTTTAGAAATTCATAATGTTACTTGTTTCATTGATTTCGTTAACATTCGCCTTTCCGCTTTGGCAGATTGTAAAACGCCCACCGCCTAACGGCCGTACGTCGCATGGGCGGCGATTTCTGCAATAAGGAATATTTTCGGTGTGCGGAATCGGATGAATATTTACGGAATCATTTCAGAGGAGCGGATAGGAAATTTTCCGGAATATGAGGCGTCGGTAGTCCAGTGACCGTTATCGCTTCTCGGCCTTTTGTCCAAGATCAAGTGATAACCTATACCAACATCCTATAATGTCATACTCAAGTTCTATGACTTATGCAAATATAGTCAACGCCAGCAAAGGGGTTGCGCCCTTGGATGTTCCCCCTGGGTCGAGAGACTTGGGGAGGAGCCACCCGGACTACGGTTCGGGTGGCTTAATGAAATCCAGGGCCCAACCCTTTTCAGCCACTACAGCCATCCTGAACCTGCCGAACGAAGATTGCCCGGAACTCTTTCCTGCTGAGTCACCTACTATACAAGTCACCATAAGCTCAAAAGGTCATCCCAACTTAAGAGGACACATCTTACGCCAGATCATAAGTGATCACCAGATCCTACTCCTCAACTACGGGCGCGCTGACACCTGGTACTTCTCCTCATCAGAATTCGACGTCACCACCTTACATAACACAAACAAAACACATGGTCCCTACACACTCTACTACACCTTACACGAAAAGAACAGAATCACCGGAACCCTTAGATGGGTCCCACCCACACTAAGCGATCGCACACTCATACAAGCACTACAACCCTACAGCACCAAAGAACCTTCTATTCACACAATCCCCCTCACTACCAACCGCAATTTCTCATTATACACAGACAACCCAACAAACATCCCTCACTACATCCAAATAAATTACAAAAACAAAACACTTAACATGCTAATAGCCATCAAAGACAGAAAACAAGCTTGCCAACACTGCTCATCAACAGCACACTGGACCAACCAATGCCATACTCTCAACCTAGAATCAACACCCAGGGAACAAACACCAACTGAATCTACAGCCCTACCCGCTCCACAAGACCTCACGCCAAGCACTCAGCAACATTCCTCAATCGAAGTCGCAGCATCTAGCCCAAAAACACCGCCCAAAAAACAACCTACAGCTCAAAACCCAGCGCCACCCGCCCAGCCATCACCAAATTCAAGTAGTAAGCAAGCAGCAACGCTCGCCCAGCCAACAACGTCACCAAGCAGCCAACAAACAGAATTCAAAAAACCAATTAATCCACCCAAGCCGCCAAGCTTACCAACAACCCCAAGCAAACAGGAAAAAACAGTAAATACGGAATCAGAGATGAACACCGAAACAGATTTAAAACGGAAAAAGGATAGCCCCACAGAGGCAAAACAGACAAAGAGTATAAAAACAGATAAACAATTTCATGAAAAAACACACTGCAGGTTTTGTACCTTACGATACAGAACAACCTTAGAGTTGGAAATGCATGAAGAAGCAATGCACGCAAAAACCCTACAGTGTAAGATATGCGGAGGGAACAAGGTCCCCTCAGATAGCGATTGCTACCATGACATATCCAGGCACTATAGGGAAAACCACCCTAACGAAACATTGTACACATGCAGCGTTTGCACCGTGTGCCTCCCATTGCACGCCATACAGGTACACACAGAAATTCTTCATCAGTGATAGACGTTTTGTATTAGGTTGTAACTGTACTGATATTTTATGCTTTATTGTCATACTATGTATCACATGATATTTTAAAACATGCAACCTATCCATACAATGGAAGGAATTATATTAAACGCAAAAAAAAAAAAAAAAAAAAAAAGTATCTGTTCTTATCAAAAAAAAAAAAAAAAAAAAAAAAAAAAAAAGTATCTGTTCTTATCAGCTTAATATCTGATACGTGGCTCATTGAGTCACTACGATATTAAACTGATTTTTGGTACTCGGCGGGATGCCCGGGGCTTGCTCCGCTCTCGCCACGGGTCGGCCCGGTATTGCAGTTCTTCCGGGAATGGCCCATTCAATTTCAATAATGTACGATTGGTCTCTCTCTCTCAATAAAAACAGCTCACTGCTGGTCAGTCAGAGTGATATGGTATTTATTCTATACCAGTCACTGTTTGCTTAAAATGTTAATCGTTTGAGCTGACCAGCACATTTTTTCTTTATTTGACGGTTCTCAAACGAACGGCAGCCGGTATAAAAACAGATATTTTTTTTTATATTTAAAATTTCTCTCCGCTCCTCTCCTTCGTTGTTTACTAATCTAAATTATGTTTTAAAAATCATTTGTCATGGCCAGTATGTGTCAAAATATCACACTTCTGTCCACACAGGACCAGTATTAATTTCACTTTAATATAAAGAAAATAGAAATTTAAATGTAAATTTTTAAAAGTTATTTCAATTTAAAAAAACAAAAATTCATTTTTATTTTTAAACTGACGTACATTGTTACGTACATTGTTTAATGTATTCTTTCCTTCAACGATTTGCATATATCTTGATCCTAATTGATTTCAAAATGTTAAATGAAACATTACAATCAGCAGAATATTAATAACAATGATCCGTTTAAGAAAAAAAAATATAAATAAAAAAAAAAAAAAAAAAAAATCTAAATTTACAAATTTAAATTTTGTGGTTTTGTTCCGCATCTTTTCTCCTGCCGACCTCACGTCACCTTTTTGTATTCTTTTTCTTTCTCAGTCTCTTCCTATACCTTTTTAACGTTGGCTTGTTCCACAGCGCTAGTCGCCTTGCGCCGCCCGCCAAAGACGTAAAACAACAGGGCGTTGATCGATTCGATATACATCAAGGCGGCGCGGGCGTCAAGGGAAGCCACTATTACGACGTTAAGGTAAGGCGCTATATTTTTTTCCTTGTTTGAGTTTTAGAAATTCATAATGTTACTTGTTTCATTGATTTCGTTAACATTCGCCTTTCCGCTTTGGCAGATTGTAAAACGCCCACCGCCTAACGGCCGTACGTCGCATGGGCGGCGATTTCTGCAATAAGGAATATTTTCGGTGTGCGGAATCGGATGAATATTTACGGAATCATTTCAGAGGAGCGGATAGGAAATTTTCCGGAATATGAGGCGTCGGTAGTCCAGTGACCGTTATCGCTTCACGTCCTTGGCAAAGATCAAAGTGATAGTTTAAGTATTTTCAAGCTCTTTCATATGGATAATTGTTTCAGTGCTAGTTCTGTGTCATTCTCATCGTGAGGATTCGGTGGTTTTTTTTGTTCTTTCAAGGGAGACAATTGTCTTCAGTGAAATTTTTTGTGTATTTCCTGGATTACCGCGCTTTGAGTGTCCGGGTTCGTATTGTTAAATTTTTCTTCTGTTTAGATCTCTCCGTGGCTGATATGCAGCTATGGAAGGTCTAAACGGCATGTACTTTGACGTGCAGGAGGATGTGTTCCAGGTAGGAGCGCATCCTCCAAACACCCTAGAAATTAACATCACAGATGCCACTATATTAGTGGGCATGCCACATGAAGTCTTTAGGAGACAACTAGTAATGCTGACAAGATTACCAACGACAGAGATTGACAAAGTATATAACTATGGCGACATAAAAAAGTGGTTCGTCACTGTGAAATCCACAAAAATATTCAAGAACATGAATATGAAGGACTATGGAAGCCGCCGATCAGAAAATGCCACTACAGCAAGACACCATATATTTCAAATTCAAACTCTACACGCGGGTCAAAAAGGAATAAAAGGCATTATCAGATGGATACCAGCTGGTTATAAAGAAGAAGATTTGTTGAACACCTTAAAGAAGCTGTGTAAACCAGG